TGTGTGTGTGTGTGTGTGTGTGTGTGTGTGTGTGTGTGTGTGTGTGTATGTCACCATCACCTCTTGTGCATGCCTTTGTGGATGTCTGTTTGTGAGACTGTATATACAGTACAGTCTCCCAGCCCTGGTGCATTTGGGTGTTTGTCTGTAATGATAATCCTACAACAGTGAGGCATGTGTGTCTCTGGGTGGGTCTGTAACCACAGGGGTGACTGTCTCTGGTCCGTTGTGTCTTTCCCGCCCTCCCTCACCCCTCTCGCCTCTCCCTCCTCTGTCTGTTTTATCATCCCTAATGAAGCAGTCTCCTCCATCGATCCTGCTGATTGCCAACCCATTCCTTTTGTTTGTTGGCGCTGAGCCATTCAGCAGCACTCTGACAGCTCAGCTCGTCTAATTAGCTCTGTTGTTCTTTTTCCTCATGTTTCACCACGTTGCAAGTTCAGTTGAAGTTGCCACAAACTTAATCCCCCCACTTCAGTAGCAAGTTCACATTCTTAACCTGTCTGCATTGTAGCAAGGAGCAGCCCTGTGCGGGACAAGCTGACAGGCCATAATGTCTGACCTTCCTGAGCGTAGTCCCCAGGATCCTGCCAAGGGCAGAAGAGCTGTTCCACCCAGCTGCATTATCCTCCTTTGCAGGCAGAGTCTCAGGGATCCAAGGGTCCTTGAGGGGGAAACCACCTCCATAAGAGAATAGGGACATATAGAGCCATCTATTTATTCAGCAAATGTTGACCAAATATCTGTTGGGTGGCAGGCACCATTCTGATAACAGTACTTACTGCTGTTATATTCCAGACAGTAACATTGGCCTGTCTACACATCTTGCTGAGGCTCCACTATGTACCAGGCTCCTCACAGGATGCCTGAAAGGATTAAAACTATCTGCAATCTATCTTCGTGTAGGCACTCCCTCCCTTCCTTTTGCTGTTGATAAAAGGGGGCATCTCAATCACAAAGAAGCAGGCAAGCATTTCTGGAGCCCACACTTGTGCCGTGTCCACGCCAGTATGTTACCCTCACCCTGTGGTTGAATCTTAACAATAGCCCCGTGGAAGAAGACGGCATGTTTTATGGAATGTTCTTGGCCTTTACCATGTTTCTGATTTGCCAAATGAGGCTGAGTTCAGACTGGCCGCTCCACAGGAAAATCTTTGGTTCGGTCAGACGTGCACAGACCTGAGGGCTCCATGAGACTCTATCAAGACTGGTCTTGTATGCAGCCAACTTCTGTAATATTGCTCCTAAGCCATTGTGCTGTGTCACCCACCAGCTGCCGGAGGTGGGGTTGTTGTGGAAAAGGGCAGTAGGTAATGGAGTGTGTCTGTCCTTCCCATCTTGTCAGCAGCACTCAGCCAGTGTGTCATTGCAGTTACAGGTAATGCATGCCCCCTGCAAAGAGCCACAGAGGGACATTCTCAGCTCTCTTCCCAAACCTCCTTGGCATTGGAAGTGGTCAGCAGTGATGGTACCACACATAAAGCCACACAATACTGATTGGACCAAATGAGACTCAACCTAAGAGTACTGAGAAATTCATCCATCATAGACTTTGATGGGGCAGGGAAGGGGCCAACCTATCCTCTGAGGTTCCATCTTGGTTTTTAGAGGTGGCAGCTCAGAATAACCCATCTACCCACAGTGTCAGCAGTGAAAATAGGAAGCTCTCTGCTGCCCTCACGTGCCCACTGCCACTCCTAAGCTGCGCTTTGTGCAGCATCCAGTTGAGCTCTACTGGGAGACGGCACATGGGGTGCCCTGAGAAGCAGTTTGGCTTGGCTAGGCACTCTGTGGAGCTGTCAGTTGCTTCCTCTTCCATTCAGAGAAGAAAACAAGTATCCTGTAATTCGATGTGAAAGAGTACATTGAGCGTGTGTACCCATAAAACAAGTGTAAGTGGAAATTCTTTGATCCACACACTAGTTTCTGAATTCCAGGGATAAGGACTTTGTGGTTTTGCCTCCCATGCAGTTCATACCTCACTCAGCCCTCTGAGAGGCCGGTGGGTCTGCAGATAAGGAGAGCCTTTCTGGCTTAAATTCCAGATAGCATATCCATATGCTGTATGGTAAATAGTGGTGTTTCCATGATAAGCAGGACCCTGGTAGCCCAGACCTGGAGAACCTCTAACCAAGCCTTCTGGGGCTGCCTGCCTAAATGTTCACAAAGAACCTGTGGGGCCTTTCCAACTCATTCCTTCTTGGGGACTTCCCCATGTTCATCCTTAGGTACGACCACCTCGTCCTCATGTCGTCAAGAGACCCAAGAGCAACATCACTGTGGAAGGCCGGAGGACATCTGTTTCAAGCCCTGAGCAGTGAGTACAGTTGGCCCGTCCCATCTCTCTCTAAGAACCCAATGAGCCAGATCTTTGTTGCCATCAAGCATGCAACTTCAGCCTTCCTCTTGGAGGTTCCCTTGAAATCCTGAGCAGGAGTTAAACAAGGAGGCTGGACAAGGAGCAGGGCTTGGTCATTGGTGTCACAGTCAGCCTCTACTGTCACATCAGCAAGAAGCACCACAACAGGGAACCTGGGCTACACTTTGAGTGGTGAGGCCAACGTACTCAGTCACATTCCAAAGGTCCCGGGCCTCTTACACTGAAGAATAAGCTGCCTTGCCAAAGAGGCTGCTTGTTTAGCAAGAACACCCTGCTGGTGTCCAAAATTCCCATGGCTTGAGTTTATACACATGATATACTACCCTTGGTCTCTCCTAGGCTCTTTGATCTCGTGTGCTATTAGGACTTTTCTTCAATGTCCCCTGTGTCCTGAAGCTCCTCAGGTTACCCCAGGACCCAGCCTAGAACCAGTTTTGGTCACAACCCAAGTAGCTGTTAAATAGATTGGGTGACTGAGCCTGCAGGGTCAAAAGCTGCAGACAGCTCCAACTCCAGAGCCACTTGGAGAAAGTAGCACTAGCTCTCCTTGTGTCAGTGTGCATAGCCCTGGGCTCTGCCCAGACAATTCGGCAGCTACTCAACAGCTTCCTGGGATATCTTTAGAATGGTACCTTATATATCACCAATCCATCTTAGCCTAGGGTTCTTTGAGGGCTGAGGAAAAACATTCTTCCCTTGTGTGGAAGGAAGGAGTGCCCTTCTTTACAAAGAACAGGTGCCAAAATAGAAGAAAAAATCTCCAAAATGTCAGGCCGTGGCATGATACCAGGTGCACTTCAGTTCTCCCATGATCCTCTGTTTTTAGAATCAGCCTTCCTGAATAGTTTTTACCCAGAGAACATCAGAGTGGGAGAGAGTGTGTGTGTGTTTCTGGAGATGCTTGGATGTGTGAGATTTTGAAGAGGGGATGCCTGCAGTTGGGGCAGGTTTAACTTGGGCTCTGTCTGCACCCTGGGTATTGTCAGAATGCTTTGGGATGCCTTCTTTGCTGTGGATTATGACTGCCCCCTTGTGGTGAGAATGCTGCATGGCGCTGGAGTTCCTCTTGTCCTGAAGATTTCTCGTGAACAGAATGGAATTGGCTACCTCTTCGTAGCTGATCCTTTTACAGTGTCCTAGGCTAGAGGCCATGGACCTGTGGATTCTGAGTCATAAACTCTGGCTGTTCTTGCATACACACACACGACCAGCAGCGGTTCACATCCTATGGAAACACATTCCCCACCTTGCAGTCCTGATTAGAGATTGGACTCACCAAGCACACTTACTTATGCTGTTTCTGTTCCAAATCCAGTGACAGGGGGCGATGCTTTAGTGTGTGCAAAGAGCTAGTTGTGTCAAGAAGGTAGCTCTTCCTGGTAATTGCCTTAGCCGTGTCGGAATCACTTCAGTATTTTTGTGTAATGTGCCTGTCTTAGATTTCTTTCCTGAAAGTGTCAGGTTGAGATGAACTGGACAAGAGAGGGTATGGGGGCTGGTTCAGAGGACTGGCAAACAACAGTGGCAGGAATTAAAAGACAGGTTCACGAGAACACCTCGTCGCAGCTCGGGCTGGCCAGGAGGTAGCAAGGGATGCTCTAAGACGTCATTGCTAGGGTTCCTTTTCACATTTCCTTAATGAGGAAGAGGGAGGCTGTGCTCTCATCATGCCAATGACATTTCTGGTGCCACCCGGGTGTTTTCCTGCATCTCTTCCATGCTGCCATCCCCCTACTACTCCCCCATGCTCCTCCACTTCCAAATGCCATGTCACAACAGCACTTGGATGTGTTTCTCTCAACTGTCACCAGCTCCAGCTGGCAAGACCAACTTCTTGAAACACAGGAAGCATCCAGCGGAAAATATTTTAATAAAACAGACTCCTCAAATATTGTTCTGGAAGGAAAGGAAAACAGCGCCACCAATCTGTCAGCTTCGTGCTGGGAGAGTTCAGAAGAGGGCCCAGGAGGCAGAAGTCATCGTCCAGTGCTCTTTGTGGAGGGCGGTTCCCACTGGCACACATGGATTCAGGACCTGGCCTTTTCATCCACTCTGACTTTTCTTGTCCTAGATCTTCATCTCTGCCAGGGACAGCAAAGTCCACTGGGCTCTTAGAGAGTGTGGGCTGTAGCTGAAGAGGTGACTCTTAGCTTCCTGCCCTGCCCTCACTTCCAGCAGCACGTTCAGCAGTTATCTCTACTCAGCAAGGCGGAGCTCCACCAAGATCCAGCGGTGCTAACTGCTACTCCCCTAAAGTCCGTCTCTTCCTTTCCTGCTGACGTGTTTTGTCCATTGCTCTCTATGTACATTCACATGTCCATTCATTCAGTGAACATCTTTGAAAACCTGGTAGGCACACACTGATCAGCCTTCAGAGGGAGTTCCCATGGTGATTCATCTGTTGACTTACATTTGCCCAACGGGAAATTTTCTTTCTGAATCAAAGTTTCCTTGTCCCTTAAGGCCATTTCGTAGCATTTGGATAAACACTTTAAAAGATTTTGGGGGGAGGGGGTCTGTTTTTTAATCGCCACTCACTGAATAAGGTGAGGCTAAGGGTTGGGGAGATGGCTCAGTCAGCATAAGGTCCTGAGTTTGGATCCCCAGCGCCCTCACAAAAGAGAGTGTAGTAGAGCACAGCCTTGGCCAGCCAGTCTAGCTAACCAGTGAGCGGTGGGTTCAGTGAGAGGCCGTCTCAGACCAATAAGGTAGACAGCAATAAGGGAAGACAGCTGATGTCAGCCTCTGGCCTCCACACATGCAGGCACACCTGCCCCTACACAGACCTCACATGTACACACTCAACAAAATGAAGGCACAATACAATTAACTGCTCTTTCCCTCCAAGAAGCGTTAGCCCCTCCTATTATTATTATTATTCTAATAAGCATTAATCCCTCGCAGTATTTTTTTCTAAGAAGCATTAGCTCCTCCCTTTATCATTCAAAACAGAAGATGCTAGTCAGCAGGACACTCTATCCTCTAGTCCCTCTGCTGTGCTAGCACTTTCCCCTGGCGGGGACTGGGAGGGACCAGCCACAGTTGGAAAGTAGCAGTGCCACCTAAGTTCTGCTTCCTAGCCCTTGCCATTGCACCCTGTTGCCCTTCTTATCATAGGACCTATGTGGCCCCTTTGCAGTCTGGCCTTGCCCAAAGACACAGCTCTGTGTCCCAAGACAGCTTGCCCAGCTTACCAGCCCTCTTCCCAGATTCTCTGGAGCCTGAAATTGGGAAGTGGGGCCCCTCAGTTTTACTGTCACAGAACAGTCACCAGAAGAGCCTGAGCACATTTCCCGTGGGCTAGTGTCAGATAGCTGGTATCAGGTTCTTGATGGAGAAGCTGAGGCTCAGGCCAAGATCACTAAAGTCTCAGGTCCATGAGACTGAGTGAGACCACCAGTCTTATGACAGAAGACTGGCCCTAGCTTCTCCACCATCCAGCCTTTCTATTCAGAACCTGATTATGCTCCAGCAGCTCCTCAGCCTCTACCATGAGTGCAAAGAGGTCACACAGTCACACCTCCCCTTGTTAGAGGTGGCCTTGGTTCCCAACCAGAGCACGCCTGGTTGTCAAGCCCCAAGGTATTTCCACCCAGCTTGCCAGGTGTTGGGGAATCCCCATGCAGCTTGCTTCTCAGCCAACGCTCCATGGCCCACTCTAAGAACACTGTGATGAGTCTCACCATCTCCACATGACTCCACACTGAGACTGAGGCAAGGGCTCAATGACCACAGTGCTGTCCAGGTGTCAGTCTCGTGTTCCCTAATAGAAGGCTACAGAGGGATCAGGGACAGGGACAGTGGCCCTCACTGAGTGACTGAAAATACAGAGGGGCATCACCTGGGTATGGCCCCTGGCTCCTCTTCATGGTACATCAGTCCACCTGATGGGTCCTGAGGTTAGGGACTTGCAGATGGCAGTGGACCTGAAGTGCCCTGTTCTGGTCACCTGCCCTCCAACCTCTCTAGACTGCATGGCATTCTCACGAAGATGCAGGTTCTGCTGGCCACAACCTATTATTGAAGTTCCCTTATACGAAAGACGAGCCCAGGTACAGCCTCCAGGGAACCTCTCCCAGCAGATCTACAGGAAAGCTGATCTTTTTAAGCAGTTTTGTTTATCATAATCATACAGTCGCCTTAGAGACAGCCTAGAGGTCAGGAAGGAGACAAGTGCACTTTGAATCCCACAACTTTGATTCAGTGATCCATAAGTATCTGTAGAGTTCCCTCCAGGCTTTGCCTAGTCATATTTTTAGAACTCCCCAGTCCGTGGCATCCAACTGTATGGACTTATCACTGTGTCTCGATAACCTCTGTCATTTGTGACTCCAGGGGTGTATATGGAGGGAATGTTTCTTCTTAACCTGCCCCCATACTATACCTTTAGCTTTTGTTCCCAAGGTTTCATTCATAAGAAAAATGTTGGGGTCATACCCCTCCTTGCTGAGCTTTCTCTCATTCTATATCGCTACAAGATGTGGACCTGATAGTACCATTCACTGAGAACTGTGTGCTAGGCACTTTACACAGGACATTTCATTGCATCCTCATGAGAAATTGGGAGGTGAGAGATCTGAGCTCTGTTTTACAGTAGTGGCCAAAAGTTCAAGAATTATCCCTGCCCTTGGCCACCCAGCTGGTTAGTGGCAGAGCTGGGCTTCAGTTCTACCTCTTGATGACTATGCCAGTACCCGTCAGTTCTGTAGAACTCAGTGAACAGGAACTGCACTGCCTCATTCATTCTGCCAGAACTGCACCGCTGGGGTTCTGGGCAGCCAGCAGCAGCTGGAAATTCTCTGGATGAGGAAGGTTGCAGGTGTGCTGGCTGGACAGACAGTCTGCACCGAGTGGAGCCCACACTGCTGAGGGCTCTGCCCACCACCTCTGAGGTACCAAGGCTTCTCCTCCACCTGAGACTATCCAGAGGAGCCACG